GGGCGACTTAATAGAACGCACCTAGTCCGAAGTCGTCTGCCATAGTAGTTGTCATGATTCCCAGCATCAGTTTGACAATGTACCAAACAGACGACTTCGGACTAGGTGCGTTCTACTAGGTTGCCCTGACAACAAGACCACGTTGCGACAACGAGGTCAACCTACTTTTAGTCAGCCTAGGTTGCTTAAGGCGATGCTGGGACTGACAATTGTGTTTTCACACAATCAGATCAGCAGGCCTCATGATGCTATTGCATTAAACTTGCTCTTCTTTCTCAAAAGTTGTTCGCATCCCGGCTGGAATGAACTGTTGTTTCTGCTTCATCTGTATCCCATCAGCACCTCCAGCATATTGCATATATAAGCTCTGTTGCTGGGATTTCTAGAGTGAAACTTCAGTCCGCCCTTGTTAGATGGCGGAAAATTCATCATTAATTACGATATAGGCTGACTGTAACTATTGTATTATGATCTATCGATTGTTATGAAACCTACTTTCTGCGAATCTAAAACACGATTGCCACAATGGATGGATTGATTTGAGCTGATGCTCAAGTACACTTCCATTTCATTCCCCCGCCAGGCATGTCTCCCACGAGGTGCACGCTAAAACGACATGAGAGATGGTATAATACGGCACATGTTACTATCCTCTTCACTCTGACACGATTCCACAATGAGACAGCACATTTTTGCTGTGTGTGTGTTCTGAGACTACCAATGCTTTTTGAATACCAACTTAATCACTCTGCATTGTTTTAGAGGATTTAAGGGAATTTTAATGGAAACATGACGACTCCTTATGATCTGGCATGTTTAGGCTCCCATTGTTATGACAAAACAAGTTCGGATGTGGAAATTAAAAGGCATATAATGTTATTAAGTTCTTTATAATCTTCTACGACCTGGGAGGATGAGAAATCGTATGCATTCTCATTCGGTCGAAGTCTTCCGGGGACACGATCACAGGACAAGAGTTAAACGTGAACGATAGTTTGGCCCTCTTGTTCTCATATTGTCTCGGTTACTGGATCTGGAAGAGTTGCATGTACAAAGGCTTCTTACAACGCCATGGAAACCAGGCCTGTTTGTAAGAGCCTGATAATGAGCTAACGAGTGAGCGTGTGTAAAGCAACTTTGGCTTTCCAGAGTCTCTTAGTTTGCCTAATTGTTGAGTTCGCTTTCGTTTCAAGTGAAGACGTACTATAAAAAGACTCGAAGATAGCTGCCATCAGGCGGAAACTGTCGATTCATCTTGGCCAGTTATGAATTAATTGTTGGGATTCCTCGAAACCCAACTTTTCTTCGTATAGTTATGAATTAGCTTTACTGAAATACTCTTGCCGACGCTGTCCTCAACGCAATCTTCTTTGATTCCGGTGCTATGGCGGATATTATCGGAGCAGAGCGTATCATTTTTGCAACCATATTCGCGCCAACAAGGCGAGTAAAATCTCTCTTCTTCACACACCTTCCCTCAAACTGGGATTGAGCGCAACAATTCAGAGTGAGTTGTCAACAAAGAGGCCAAAGTTTCAGAGATCCGTGGAAACTGCGTTCAAATGGAGATGGAGCATGATCTACCCTCTTAAAATACCCATTAATTTCAATCTATTTTGAACATTCAAAGCGCAAAATCAGCCTCATCCAGATTTACTGGTACCTGCACTGATGTGCTATGGAAGGCGGCCAAGAAGGAGGCTTTATGGCTAGCTTCTGCATCAAAATCTGCCAAAACGAATAGCTCGGGCACCGGTGATGTGGAAAAAGTGATACCATAACGTAAATTTGTACTTCCAGTTGAGTCCCCCTCCAGAGGAGAGTACAGCTCGGCATCGTTTAGCTCCATAAGCATCACTAGCTCGAATCAAAACTCAGAACGTGTGGATCGGGAATGGGTTGACTGACAAGTTTGACCTTGGATCAACTGAGGTAACATTCTAATGATATCTGCATGCTCCATGGGATTTCAGATCTTACTCAAAAACTCATTTCTATATTTTGAGGGTCACCGAAGGTAAGGGTGAATTTTGTCCAAGTTTGTTTCTAGACAACCATTAAATCATTTTCAATGACCCAGGGCGACTAATTTCTTATTTTAGAATAAGGGCTAATGCAACAATGAAATTTATTTTGGGAAATGCCTCACTTACTTTCGATACGAGTAGTCTCCGAGACTATCAATCATTCTTGAATACGAACTTTGCTAACTTTGGTCGCTTGAAGCAATTTAAGGACTGATATGGGACTGATTATGGGAATGTACCACGTCCACGGTCCGACTCTGGAAATGAACATGCATACAATAAACTTCGGACAATGTGCCTTTTTCTAGGTCTTCCTGCCAATATGACCAAGTTGCGAAAACAAGATCAAACAACTTGTAAGGACGGATAGTTGATTTTTCCGACAATCTGAAAAGTAGGCCTTGCCAGGATTTGCTTGCCAAATTGTTGCCTAATCCATTCGACTTTGCCTGGGTCTCATCAGCAATCTCAGCCGGATTCGATACAGGTGTTGTTAGCACTTTACCACACAGCCACAATTGTCAGTTGATCATCGGGTAGATGTGGCACTAAAGGCAAACCAGGCCTCTCCTAAATTACATTTTTATAGAGGGTATGTAGATTAAGTAAAAATGTGTTTGACATTGCAATCCACAATGTTACTCAGTTCCGATGTGAGTAGTTTTTGAAGCTAGCCATATGTATTAAATAAAAAATCTTCTGATTTTGGGAAGACTAAATTATCATTCCCAGTGTGACTAAATGCTTATTCTAGAATTACCGATTACCTCGAAACATACTCACAACGAGTGGAAGTCGCTTCGTTGAGGATAGCGGCAAATGCATATTTGCCTTATCGATATTACAAATTGGAGATCTGATTTTGGAATTTCCTGGGTCAATTTCTCGTATATAAGCAGAGTATCGAGTTGACATCTCATATAGCTGAATCAATTTCTACTGCGTGACGCCCATGAGTGTGTAACGCAGTGGCGATGTGTCGTCAAAATACGTACATTTCAGTTGCAAACCTCTTTGGAGGAGCTGGTGAGACAGTTGAACGGGGTCAAACCCACATTCCAGTCCAAGGGGGGGGAGCTAAGGGAACTTCAATTGCATTATGAGGCCCATTTACAACATTGTTGGAATGACTCTACCTTTAGGCTTTACTTCACTTTAGCCAACCTAAGGTTACTAGATTTAGCTGAGGCGATGAACCGAAGTCAAGAATTTTTTCTCCACGGAAGGATAACCACCTTTTAGGATAACTTGTGCTTACTTCTACTTCGCTTTCCAGTTAACGAATTACTTCCAAACGTCTTTGTTTTAGAAATTAATGTAATATATATATATAGATCACTTTACCCAACCTAGGTTGTCTAGGTTCGGATGACGGGATAAGGGAAGGTCAAACTTTCAGTTCCAACTGAAGGATAACGACCCTTCGGGGTAACTTACGAAATGATATTCCAAATAAAAATCAAACCCTTTCTTCAACTCATCGTGGACAGATGAGTCTGGTGCCTGTCAACAAATATCTATGAAACAAAAGCGTCACCTTTTTTTCATTTCAAATTTAGAAATAAAGTTGGTCGGAAGTGACTCGTGGATTGGCCACACACAGTACAATTACAAGCACATGCCTAGACATGTATCAAAATTGCAAAACCTAAGATAATATCTATGAGATGTATTCGCCCTGTAAGGGGAGAGTATTTTTTTAACAATGATATGAATAGACCGTATGCTTCCATTGAAGTTCACATGGTATTCTCATCCCGGCTGGAGAGGACTGTAGTTTTGATCTCGCATAGCCCTCATCCGCACCCCCAGCGGGACTCAATCCATGTCAGTGATTTTTTTTGCTAACTATCACTAAGGCCTAAGCCTATTGCTTGAGTGATGCATGAAACTTGAGCGGTGAAAATGTGTCACTCTTAGTCGAGAATTCTGAAGCAATAAAATGAAGTCAGTGGGATTCCAGTTGTTACAAGCATTAGTAAGAAGTTCTGAATAGACAAATAATTACCCTGGCTATACAGGAGCTGGGCTACACATGAGGAGGCAGTAGTAAAGTGCTAGACAAGATTTATAAAATACGCAGAAATGGAGGAAAAATTAAGATGTGATTCATAGATATGTGAGAGTAGTGCAAATCTAGAACAGTGTAAAGAGCAGAGAGGAGGGCAGGATGGCTAAGGTGAGTTATTAAAAATTGATAATTAGTGATTTAGCATGATTTATTTAAGGATAAAACACATTCACACTTTTAAGAAAATATTATATGATCAATAAATTTGAATACGGATAAGTCTTCACTTAACAACAATAAACGAACGTATTTCAAAGTCCATAAATCCGTTGTAGGAAAATTCAACTACCAGTCATTCATCAGGCTAAGCGAAATACAGTGGGTACAGACCTTATATCAGATCTTATGGTAGTCTCTAAGACCTACCTATGCTAAGACAAAGGGTACGGCAGCAAAGATTGCAACGTACAAAAACTGGGTTTTGAAGAATCCTTTAATAGATTAATATTGGAGTATCCTTTATTTCATTTGAAGAGGCGAATGGAAGGGATTCGTAAGTGGGTTCCACCGGAAGCTGTGGGGGGATTGCTTTGGCGCTGTGATTGTAGAAGTTAGCGGATTGGCCCTGCGACCCGGATGAATCCTTGCTGTCTTTCGTCAACCATGTGACGGACATGCTCAGAGTAGGACACCATGCTTAAGGATAATTCACTAAAAACACGAAGGCTAGAAAGGTGATAAACTTCAAACCTGCCTAGTTCTTATAGTCCAATTTGGTCCACTTAGCATCTCATGTTTAGGTTGGATATCCTATGCATTAACTAAATGTTTGCTCAAAAGTTAAGTGGCTGTAGATGGCAGCAGATGAAGCGGTAAACTGATGCAATTGTGACAAAGCAATTGCATCCGTCCCTAAAACACTCATACTTTTGATTCCACAATGTTACTATATGTCATTGCGTTCTATTTCAGCCTTCAGTGTGAATGCTTTGCTTTTGAAATGAGTGCGATGTGATAGTTAAAAGTAGATTCGAGCCACAAGAGGTTTCCACTTAACTTCCTACACTCATTCCTTCTATTCACGGCTTTGGCCGTTATGTTAATTTCTATCGTATCCTTAATCTTTCGCTTACTGGCATAGTCTCCATATCCAGCTGAGCGTTTGGCATTAGACCAATCTATCAGTTGTCCTGCGCCAGCCAAATTTTCGAC